AACCCAAAATCTCTGTAAATGTTTATGAAAATTAATAAAATTATAGAAAAAAAATAAATTAAAAAAAAAAGTAATAATGAGTCTGAACCTGTTCCCAGATTAAGTAAATCGAAATTTCTAGAAATAGGGTCCAAGTATTTCAGATTTTCTTTTTCAGTTTTGAGATGTACACAATATGTATAACTGAGATTTACAATATGTGCATAAATCCTGCTACACAATCCAATCAAGTTTTACAAATGTATATGCATCTCTGTGGTGATCGCTAGATTAAGGTGGTGGTTGTTATGTGCTATTGAGTGGGAGAGTTGGAACTCGAAAACACAGAATTAGCAACTCCTGGCCCACCCTCCAGCAGGATGTCCCGGGCTGTATATCACATGGGGAGAAGAATGCCGATTTTTCTCCTGTGGAGCAGCTGATGGATTTAAATTGCTTCCTTTGGGTTGGTAGTACAACTCCTTACCCACTGGGCCACCAGGGCTCCTTTGACAAATGTAGACGTAATTTATAGGCCCCAAAGATTGGGCAGGGCTTTACTGTTCTAAATGGTGTTGCTATGAGTTGTTACTAATTCAACAGTGCAAAACAACAACTGTTCTCAAAATGAAAAAAGAAAGAAAAGAAAGAAAGAGAGGAAGAGAGGAAGGGAGGAAGGGAGGAAGGGAGGAAGGGAGGAAGGAAGAAAAACCTAAACAAACAAAAAACCACCTCATTGCTGTGGAGTTGGAACTGAATCACAGTAGACCCTCCGATGGATTTTAAGAGGCTGCCCATCTTTCTCCAAGAAGCTGGTGGATTTGAACCACTTACCTTTAGTGGTATGACTCTTTACCCACTGGGTCATGAGAGTTCACTATTATTCTCAAAAGTAACCACTATTCTGATCCTAACTACTGAAGATAAGTATTGTCAATTTTCTTTTTAATCAACTGTATTAAGTATTTACACACAATAAAAAACTTATTTTATATGTATATGAATTCTGACAAATGTATCCATCTGCGTGACTAATACCATTTTGATACAGAACATTTCCACCATCCCGAAAAGATTTTTTTTTGTTCTTTTACAGTCAATCTTCCCACCAACAATCGCAAGTAAACACTGATCTACTTTGAGTTACTATATTTTTAACTTTTGTGTATAACTGATACTGTAGTAGTCTTTTATACCCCAATAGTTAATTTACTTTGTATTTCATGCATGTACACTGTGTTTTAAACAATCTTTCAAGACTTAGAGTGTTTCACAGAATCATTCATATACACTGTATTTTGTATAATTAACACCGATCTGCATCTATTATTACACCGTTCTTCAAGTCCTCATTGAACCTTTCCTATTGCTTCACTCCCCCTCCGCTCAATCTGTCCATCAAACTCTGCTATCCGAGTGATTTCCACCCTTCCCCAATTCCCATCTCCTGCCCTTCCTTCCTCTCCTTTTTAGACATTTATACACATCTTGCTAGTTATCCTCCTAATTTTACAATAATGGTCTCATGCGATATTTGTCCTTATGAGACTGAGTTCACTTAACATAATGCTCTCTTAGAATCTCTCACATTACATCGTTTTGTTAAGTACCGTCGAGTCATAGACGACTCATAGCAACCCTATGATCGAAAG